TGATTTTGATTTTCTCAAAATTTTGTTGCCTGCGGCGCTTATTTTTTTCACGTTTTTACTGCTATTTGTAGAGCTATATAGCCTCTTTTACCTAAATTTTTCGCCTGCGGCGCTGTTGTCTCATCAATTTTTTGAGTTTTTCGAAAAAATTTTTTCGGGGCCCCCCGAAATTTTTCTATATGCCCCTGTTTGTAGGCCTTAAAAACGGTAGAGAAGGTGGTACCTTTCGGTAGGAAAAGATATACCCGGCGCACTAGACCAGATCCCTTTTTGAAAGCTTCATAAAAAGTGGAAATTCAAGGGATTGAGCCTATAGGGTTTTTTTTGATACAGTAAAGTATACAGCCGTTATACAGTTTTAAAGTTTTTATACAGGTTTTATCAAATTTATAAGCACTAAAAGCGGGTTTTTGCCCAACTTTTCGAAAATAAGACCCATGGCACCGGCCGTAATTCAGTTTCCCTTTTGAACTTTTCTGACGCAGCTAGGCATGAACTACCACTGTAGAATCTGCACTTTTTAACGCCCCCAACTCTTTCAAAAACAGCCGACTTCCCCCCGCTCAGCTCCGTTTGGCCAATCATGGCAGCTTTGTTTTGCCGGGCGCCCGGGGCCAATATGCCCGCTCGGGGCTTACCGACCCGTTGAGGGATGACTTTTCTCGGGGAGCGCGAAGCTAGGCACCACCGGGTAAATACCAGTCTTCAGCCAGGTTTCCCCAGGCAAAAAAGCCTCGAAATTCGCGTGGGGCTTAACCCGGCGGGGGCTAGAATTGGGCCCCAGTTTCCAAAATCGATTCTAGCGAGCTAGCGAAAAAGGATTGGCATATCTGGGCGCATAAATCGGTGGTGCGTGAAATGGGCAGCGCAAAAATAGCCGCCGGGCAATAGAAAGATACGTAAAAATGGAGCGAGGCGGACCGGGAAGTAAAGCTGGCGAGCTAGCCGAGACTCTTTAGGACCCGTCAAAAGAGAGAAAAGAGCGCTGACCTCGGGAGAGTTTTTATATTTAACTTCTAAGAACAAGACAGCTATTTATCACCGCGCCTTTTCAAACAAATTAAAATACGCCCTTTTCAATGTTACAAGACCTACTCTATAAAAATTGATAGAAAAAGATACATAATCGATAAAAGCAAAAACAATACCTTTAGACTTTAAAAAGCGCGCCAGCAGAAAAGCTTTAGGCATTTAGAGCATTTTACCAAAAATAAAGCTAGAAAAGCAAGGTAACTACACTAAAAACCAAGGCCAACTAGCAGAGATCATTGAGCAATCCTACAAAAATAAAATCCTCACCTTTGGATTAACATTCTTGACGGCCACCGACTGTTTTGAGGGGAGCAGGAGCGAGGGATAGGCTGGCTGACGGCGTTTCTTCATCACGAGAAGGCCCACAACTGCAAAACGATGATATGGGTACGGTGGCCGGTGGGCGCCATTTAGAAAATGGGCCCATGATGGGTCACAAACATCGCTCGGTGATCTCATGGCGATGCGTTTTGTGGAGGTGGCTGCGTGGTTCGACACGCAACCCTCGCCACGCACGCTTTGCTCATGAAAAATTTAGTGTATTTGGGAGGGTTGTGTTATAAGGGTTGGCAAAATATCTTGGTAAATAAATTTTTGTTTTAAAGGAACCGGCAAGCAGGGGCGTAGCCAGAAAAAAATTTCGGGGGGGGCCCCGAAAAATTTTTTCCGAAAAACTAAAACAATTAAAAAGAAAACAGCGCCGCAGGCAAAAAAATTTAGAAACAAGGCTATGTAGCTCTACAAATAGTCGTAAAAACGTGAAAAAATAGCGCCGCAGGCAGCAAAATTTTTGAGAAAATAAAAATCATAAGGGTCCCCCCTTATGAAATTTCCGGGCCCCGGCCGATTTCGGGGGGGGCACCGGGCCCAGGGGGCCCACCTTACGCTACGTCCCTGCCGGCAAGGCATTATGGATTTTGGCTACGGATACCTACAGATTTGGCCTTGCCGCAACACGCAACGCATACGCGCGAGATTCCAGTGCGTAATGGATAACTAAGATCGTTCGGTAGTCAAATCGCCCGCGTTGCGTGTAGCGGGCTGGCAAAAAATCCATAAAACTGCCTTGTCCGGCCCTTTAAATAAAACATAGATTCTTCGGCTATGGATCCCCCAAAAATTTGACGTTTCCCGCGACACGCAACGCATCCGCCAAACAGTATCAAGCTTTTAGACGGGCGTAATCCATTACGCAACGGAAAGCACTCCGCTCTAGACATCGCGTGTCGCGGCGAGCAGCAATATCCATAAAAAATCTGTAGCGAAAAACCCATATCCATGACTTGCCCGTCCGTTTAATTACCGTTTTCTCCATCATGATAGTTCATAAAAACTATTTTGAAAATTTTACTTGCGCCAAAATTACCGTACATAGTGCGAGAGCGGCGAGGCCAGCTGCCGAGACGGCGCCCGCCCACACCCATTCTGAAAATGTGAAGGTTATTGGCGGTTTTTTGTTGAGGATTTTTACCCTGGATATTGATCTGGGAGGGTGGTTACAGTAAGCCGGGGATTAATCAGCACTCTTCATCCCCGGGCTCTGCCCCCGGATTTATGCGCATTTTAACTTATCGACCGGAGGCAAACGTTCGTTCCGCGGGTAGGCTAATTGACTATGCCGGGGGTGTGATCTAGGGGCAAATAAATGAAAGTAGAGTTTCTTTGCGGGAACCGGACATTTTGGGGATTAAAAGGCTTCAATTCGGAGAAGTTTTCAGGTTTTAAAAGCCAGAAATTCACGAGAACTTTAAGAAAAACTTTTTCTAAATAGCTACACATCTGAAAAAGTACTGAATTGTCTGTTTTTCAACAGCCTGTCGATTAAGGAGAAGCACATTTAACTTTTGTGTATCATATTAAAACGTTAAAGCTCAAAGAATAAAACCAAAAAGGGCCAGCCAGCCTAGATCACTCGGGAATGTCTAAACAGCTAAACAAAAGGAGCTAGCAGAACCCAAAATAGCAAGAAAGCCTAAATTAAGCCCTAACCACCGAATTACTACATTTAATAAAGGTTATTATAAAAGGAAAAGATCAGGAAAAATAGTACAGTCTTTGGAGACAAATTCCATTACGCTACAAAAACTTACGGTGCGTGGCGGGCGCTGGGGCCCGGTCGAGCACGGGCATCGTGCGGTATAAGGCAAGGAGAAGGGACTGACGCGAGCCTTCAGAATATGGAAAGGGGGATGGGCCACTGGGGAGGGAGGGGGATAGGGCCCACCGAGGGCCCAGAGGCAGTGGCCTACACGGAGAGGGCCCAGATGACGTCGGGTGACGGGGGGAGGGTGAGAGTGCGAGAATGAGCCCGAGATAATGGGTGAGATGGAGAGACGCAGTGACGAAGACACCAAAAGGTATCTAGAAACCGGGCAAACAAGCCAGCTGACCCTATGGAGAGTGTGGAGGGGGTAGAGAGGGTAGAGGGGCCGCCGAGGCTCGTGACGGGACCCTGTTCTCTCGAGGATAAGTTGGAGGCGATCGATGGGCCCCTTGAAGGGGCCATGGCCATGGAGGGTAAGGGGCCCAAGGTGCCCTCCGACAGCGTCACAATTTGTGACTCTCAAGAAGGGAGCCGATGGATGGATGCCCTTTCCAGATCCAGACCAGGGGGGTCGACTACAAAACGCTACTCTGGCCCCGAGGGTATGGTAGCGGAAACGGAAATTAGATGGCTGTTGAAGGGGAAATTAACACTTGACTGGGGTCGATACGACCATGTTATCAATGTTGTAGTGGGTACGATAGAAAAAGGGTAATTGGACAGATGTTGAACACTGAATAAAATGTATGGTTTTTTGAAAAAGCTTCGAATTTGTCGTTTACCGCGACACGCAACGCGCGCACTCTCCGCGTCAATTGGTGTCTACGTAGTCTTCCTGTACCGAGGCTTCGGCTTTTTTAAGGGTTAGACCCGGAATACACAAAAGATAGAAAGAGAACGAGAGAGAGAGAGAGAGAGAGAGAGAGAGAGAGAGAGAGAGAGCGAGGGAGAAACCAGACATAGATAACTCTAGAAACGTCAAACCCAAAAAATATGCCAAATATGTCATACCTGGCCCGTACGTTTGCGTCGTTGGAGCAGGCCGAAGCAACACTGGCCGTAGATAGTACAGCATCGGACAGGTTTCCCAACCGATGCAGTGGATTGTTCTCCAGCCTCCGGGGCTAGCCAATCATTTGTACCCGATGGCCGACACTCTATTCTCTATCCATTCTCGTGGCTGAAAACGGATAGCCTCGGCTCGTTTGATGACCAGCCAGAACCACTAGCCCTATACGGGGTCCCAGTGGCCACACAGAACACAACTCAATTTGCCAGAGGGCCGCTTTTTCGCAAATATTCAAAAAGTTGCACCGATCAAAAGCAATAGATTCTCCACGATGCATCTAGGAACCACAGATTTTTGACGGTATAAAGGAATATTACACTTCAAAAAATTATATTGAAAAATCAACATCATGACAGACCTTCCCAAAAATATTTAAAAGCTTTATTAAATTTAATCAGAAACCGCGACGGAAAAGCACACAGAAAAATTAAGCTTCATTCAATTTCTGCTTCCACTCCTGCGACTGCTGGTCTCGACGCGCGACGAATTATGGCGATACTCTTCACGGCGGAAGTCCTTGTTTTTCAGTGGCGTCGAGTACCTAAATAAAACATATAGTAGTAGCAATCCCCAGAATCACCTCATCATAAACGTCGGCTCGGTGATCTTGAAGGACTTCCGTTTGCGCTGGTTGCTCTTATTCGCGGGGTTGGCCATGCTAAAGAACGGTTTTTGACAGAACCGTTGAAAACACGCACCTAGACTTTGAACGCTGACTCCGTTCGCTCTGGTCCGACGAGCGCGTGTTAACAGTTTCTAAAGAGCGATGTAATATTTCTGGAAAGTCTCACCGGATGCATTGATCATCGACCGCACCGTATTGCCGTAGATGATCTCAGAGTCGAAGAAGGGCTGCATGCGCTCCAGGTCTTCTAGTTTCCCCATCGGGTCCAGCTTCACCCTAAATCTCCCTTAAATTGCCGGAAAATTGAGAAAATAACTGACGGGACGTTCGGCATTGGCTTCAGAGTGATTTTACCGCGCAGCACATCCAGCATGACGTCGGCGTTGAGTGGCAATGTGCTGTCGGTGGGTGCTTCCTATAACAATCGTACGGTTTTTTGCACGATCGTTTTTCACCTCATCAGCATTGGGATCAACCCAGAAAGGCTGTCCACACTCCAAAATCGCCTTTCCGTCCGGCCCGGGATTGCCAAATCTCTTGCCGCCCGGCGTCCCGGAATTCTTTCGATTCGCAGATTTGTCGGTCGGTGTGCTGGCTGATTTCTTGTTTGCGGCCGCTTCTTTCGATCTGAATGAACAAAACTATAAAAATTAGGATCATCTCCACCTTTCCGATGAAGACGATGGGAACGCCGTGGCGAACGCGTGGAGGATCTTGTTTTTGGCGTTTACGGCTTGGCGCCGTTGCATGCGCTCTTCGACCTTCTTGCTCCATTTCTCAAGTCGGCGCTCGGAGAGTCGGGACGACTTGAAGCGGACGAGCTTGCGGACTGCCTGAAAAAAGGTTTTTTTTAGAGTAACAAGTTCCTACCCTCGAGCTATCTCCGGCAACCGATACTTGGCTTCGGTTCGAGCTTTTGGAAGATCTTTGCCGGCGATTCTTGCTCGACTTTCCCTCCTTCGACGACTTCTTCGAGCCCTTTATCGAGATTTCCTCAGCACTGGGGCGTTTTTTGGCCGATGCTGATGGCGAGGGCGGTACGGCAGCTGATTTATTGCTAAAAATAAATCTTGTTTATTATTAGCTTTTAGCCAATATAGATACATTTCACGTGACAACACGATTTCGACTTTAAAAACCGCTGAAAATTTGAAATTTTGGTCAACACAATCAGGGGCGTAGTCAGAAAAAATTTCGGGGGGGGGGGCCCAAAAATTTTTTCCAAAAAACTCAAAACATAGTCGAAAAAACGTTACCGGGGCCGGTATTACGCTACGTCCCTGAACACAATGGATATTTTCACGTTTATATGTTCATAAATAGCAAAACCACAGATTGAAACGAACACGCTCCTGGTCGAGTTCCCAGTCGGCGACTTGGCTCGCGTCTGACGAGCTGAAGGTTGTTGTGGAGCAGGTTGCGCGGGCGCTGGGACTGGCGGGGGCGGGCGCGGCGCGACGGGCGCTGGCTTCGGCTTCGGTGGTGGCTGCTCGGGGGGCTCGTCTGCATGCTCCTCTAAAATCAAATAAACTGAAGCCAACTGAAAATACCGTGCTCCGGCCGGCGTACAAATCTTTTGAACTTCTTGTAGATACCTGGAAAATGTATAAACTTAGGGTTTTCATTTAAAGGGATGCCGACTGAAGTTTAATGGGTTTGCGGGGGGGGAGAGGTGTTTTTTGTTCTTCCCCCGGGGGGCTTTTTTGCCCTTTTGGTTTTTTGCCAATTTTTTAAGAGGGGGGGGGGGGAACGCCAACCCCTTAAGTGGAGGAGAAGGTTGGGGTGGGAAGAAAATGGTGGAGGGGGGGGGGGGTTGGTGGGGGGGGGGGGGGAAAGCGTACTTTTCCACATGAATTCGTTGCAACAGTGAATAAGATTGAATAGTACTAGTAGTAGAAAAATGGGGAGGCAGATGGGAAAAGCTTTTTATAGCAACTGAATAGATTTAGATCGTACGGCATCTGATGTAAATGAGGAAAATGGTAAGTCTTGCATATCTGTTGCTTTTGTTTCTAAAGTTTTAGCGGCTTAAAGCCAACAGTTCTTTGGTAAGAAACACTATAAAAGGCGTTAGATTTATTTATTATTAGTCACTATGGCACAACGAGGAAATTATAGCTTTTGCGCTAATCTAGATGTATCCTCGGCCGTTTCGGTTAACAATCAAAATAAAAACTCAATTTAAAAAACAAATCAGAATACCCCGCCTACTTCCTGGACCCGATTCGCGTACAAAACGCAAAATATGGCTACAAAATGCTCAGCATCCTTCCCCGCTATCTTCGAGGAGGTTAGCTAGCTTCCGCAATGGCCACTTCACCATCCGACGCTCCACCCAAATCCACACGAACTCAGGTGAGGAATTACTTCCGACGAAGAGTTCTCCAAACATTCAGGCAGCCAACGATGACACGAGCTCGATCACGGATGACGTGCGCGGAGCAGAATACTACCATGGACTCGTGCCCCGCACCGACGTCGAGCCATTGCTCAAGAAGGACGGAGATTTCCTGTTGCGCAAGACTGAGCACACTCCTGGTAATGCTCCGCGTTTCACAAAGTCAGCTACCGTTTTCTAGGCGTGATCGTGCTGGCCATCTCGGTTCGTGTCGGGACGGCGGTGCGCCACTTCATGATCAATCAGGACCCGAGCGGCACCTTCTACTTGGAGGGCCATCACGAAAAGTCCATTTCGGAGCTCATCAATTGGCACAGGTAAGAGCATCCAGAAAAATACAGATTCGATCATTTTGAAGGACGACAAAGACACCGCTGTCCGCCACCTCAAACGCCGTGCTGAAGCGACCGGTGGAGAGGACGGCCTGGCTGCTCAACCACGATTCCATCACTCTCGTCAAGAAGCTCGGCGAGGGCGCTTTTGGGGAGGTGAGCGAAAGTGACAAACTAAACGCTCATGCTCCTGCAGGTGTTCCTGGCGGAATACGCGCTGGGCAAGGACAAGCAAGAGGTGGCCGTGAAGACGATGCGCACCGAGGTGACGCGCGAGGCCCGGCTCAAATTTATGAAGGAGGCCAGGCTGATGAGGAAGTACAGCCACAAACACGTCGTCAAGGTCGGGTAGTTTAACTGGCGTCTTTCTAACCTCATCACAGATTCTGGGCGTGGCCGTGCACGAGCACCCGCTGATGCTCGTGATGGAGGTGTGCCCTGGGGGTTCGCTGCTGTCCTATCTGCGGAAGAATAAGGGCAAAATGGATGGCGCCATCAGGATTCGGTACGATATTCTGAACTGCGTATATACCTGCAAAATACCTATAATGCGATTGATTCAATTAAAAAAAACGCATTTAGATTTGCCACGGAGGCGGCCGACGGGCTGTGGTACTTGGAGAAGCAGTGTTGCATTCATCGCGATATTGCCGCTCGGAACTGTCTCCTCAGCAGCAAGTCGGTACGTGAGAGACGCCAAACCACGCAAATCCGCCCCCATTTAGGAGGTGAAGATCTCCGATTTCGGCATGTCAGACGACAAGAAGATTGTACACGACGATACTCTCGACAAAGTGCCCGTGAAGTGGTTGGCCCCCGAGACGCTGCAGGACAAGCTGTACTCGCTGAAGACGGATGTGTGGAGCTACGGTAGACCTGTCTGCTGATCTAAACCGGAAAGTATAGGTGTGTTGGTGTGGGAGATCTACGCCGACGGCTCGGAGCCCTACCCTGGGTTGTCCAACATCCAGACCCGTGCCAAGATCATCGTCCAGAACTACCGGATGGAGATGCCGAAGGTTGTTCGAAGCAACACTCTTCTATTGCTACGATTTCCAGGATTGCCCGCCGAGCGTCGCCAAGCTCATCTACCAGTGCTGGGAGAAGGAGTCGAAGGCCCGGCCGGAGATGGGCAAGATCTACCGCTCGCTCAAGGAGATCAAGGAGCGATCGACCCGCCAATAGACTCGCAATGGAACATCATTAATGCAACCATGTCCCCCTTTCGATTTTTAATTCTTCCTGTTTTAGAGCGAAAACGCAATTCTTTTTTGAAAGAACATGGATATTTGTGAATAAAGAATTGTTTGGGTCCCTGGTTGAGAATCCGATGGAACCTTTGTGCATGATTGGGTGCATGGAGCTAGGTTCCTTCAGAGCAAAAAGGTTTATTCATCGTTGCAAATTCTGCTCGAAAACGATTCCTCGTCTGAAAAGAAATAAAGCCATTAGTAACCTCCGGGAGCTGAGGCAAAACACAGAAAACGTCCCGCAAAAAATCCCAAACCAGAAAAGGATTGGTTGATGTTAATCAAGAGAGTTAATGCTTTGTAAGATTGCGAAATGCGGGGCTGAAGCGTAGAATCACATGTCGAATCAAAGACCCATAATTGGAATTTGTACTGTGCTAGAAAGAACAAAGGAGATTGTGATTGGCAAAGGCGGCTAATAGCACAGGTAATCAAGCGTTGACACGACTTCCGTCGAGGAATTTCCCCCTGTAGGAAAGTTTTTCTGTGAGGCGGTTCCAGTCGATCGTGCCGTTGGCAAGCCGTGGCATTTCGAAATTCAGCTCCCTAGAAAAAAAAGGCGATGGGTGATCGGGGGATGTCATACTTGTATGTCTTGAGCACGTCGCTGCCTCGCTTTGCCCATTCATCGGCTTGGTAGACGGGCTCCGGTAGAGAGATCGGGGCAGCGACAATCTGAAGGCAATATAATTTAGCGGAAGATTCGCGTTCTCACCTGATGTTGAAAGGAAAGGGCCACGGCAAGCGACTGCAGGGAATCTTGCGTGACGCCCGGAATATCGTTGATGAGTAGTTCATACTTGGTCGATTTGCCAGTGCCCTGAATTGCTTTATGATGGAGTGCATAACTTTATACCTGGACAGTCTGATGCGATTGAATGTAGAATTCGGTGAGGTGCGGGTTGACAATGTCTGTGTCGACGACGGTGCGCGAATCGAGGTTTTTGTACACGCTGGCTTTTGTTAAACTGCAACAGTGGATGGTTCAAGCGAATATATGGACAAGTTTTACCGTGTTTTGTGGCGCTTCGTGCAGATGATCACCGCAAATTTTGGGCGGTAGCCGTGTTGGAATTCGTGGCAGGCTTCGGTGATGGCGGGAAACTCGAAGTCGCGTACCTAGAAGAGAGAACTAATACAATGTCACAAGAACGAACCATTTGATATTGTCCCTCGGAGACGCCATCTCGGAAAATGTAAATGGCATCTGGCAACTTTTCGCCCCGATTTCGTTGCCACAATTGCAGCATCCATTGTATACGAGAACCAAGCACTCGGGTATCAGCCTAAAATGAGAAGCATAAGGTGCCCCGGGTAGTTAGCATAGAAAATAAATGTACAATACACCCACTTGTTCAACCAAGGGCTCCTGGTATGCGAAATCGCCAACAAACTGATCCAGCTCACGGCCACAATTCGCAGAAAACTATAATACGGATCAAACGATAGGAAAGCTTACATACCCCGACTACGGAAGCGTTCTCAGGACGACCCAGTAGGCGACTTTGCATCGAATCGGCGCCGGTGGGATGCGCCACATCGTAGCCGATGAACAACGTCCGGCCGTACCAGTCATCGCGACTAAAAATCCCGATTTCTACAACATAGCAAAAACTCACGCAAATGACTCGGGGATAACCGCATGATTGACGCCCAACATTTTCGCATTCATCTTCATCAAGAAATTCTCGAGCATAGCAGAGCCACCTCCGCCGCTGGCAATCACGTTCATGTTCTGGAAAAAAACATTGATAAAGACGTATTATCCTCTAATATACCTTGGAAGTGAGATGCTGCGTGACGACCTGGTACCGTATTTCGGCAAGCTTCAGCAGCCCATGCGTCTTTTGCGATTTATGGTCGACGTAGATCACGATGACAGTAGGGTCGGTAGTCTTCAGTGAGCGTTGATGCTCCGCCGCCTAAATCGGCCAGGTTTCAAGTCATCTTTCGCTTCAAGCTCAGCGCTGATTACAAGGCAGAGAAGCACGAAAATCACCTTTCGAAAGATTCCATCATGGCTGAGTTCAGTTCTGATCTTGATCGGACTATATTCGATAAACGTCTACAAAGAAATAATTAGAATGTAGCACAATTACCTCTCCAATTTTCATGCCCTTTTTTAGGGCTTCCTTCTTTAAATTTTGGGCGAAGGACCGCAAATTTCGCGGCATATTGCGAGCCTCGGAATCAGACATGCCATCACCGTTCCATCTGAATAGAAAGAGCCGCTTATTAACCGTTTTCGTAATCGTAGAAAAAGGAACAAAACCTACGTCAGAACAAGCAAATCGATCTGCATGGCCGTAGCGAACTTTTGCCCTCGCGAACGCCAAGCCGTCTAGAAAATAAGATTTGAGCCATGAAAAAGTTCCTTTACCGTGATTTGGTCCGTTGCGACCTCCTGGCCGTCACCATACCGAACCTGTGGTGCAACACGTCGAAAACCTTCTACTTCCAAAGGACGGGCGGCCACCCGGACGCCAAAGCTAAAAACTATACTCTGCCATACCCCCAGGGGGTATACCCCCATGGGGGTACAAAAGGGGTAAGAGGTGGGGGTACAGCGGGGGTACGCGGTGGGGGTACAAAGGGGTACCCCCACCCCCTACCCCCACCCCCCCCCTACCCCCCACCCTCCCCCAGCAAACCAACAGATTTTTTCCAGTTACCTCCCACACATACCACATATCGGTGGCTCGCAAAAAATTCAGGAAGAAATGACGAAGTCCGCCGGAATTTCACCAAGGCAGTTAATAAAATACGAAACTTGAAGTAAACATTTTTTAAATTCTTGTGATTTTTTTTCCACTTAAAACAGGTCTGAATTTTACTAAAAACATTATCGAAACTCTTACTATAACGTTACCAGGGGTTTCTGGGTTTATTTCAAAAAAGATTGGTCCGCCGATAAACTTTCAACTTAAAAAAATGTTTAGTTCAAATTTGGTATTTTATTAACTGCCTTGATACAATTCCAGCTGACTTCGTCATTTTTTGTTGTATTTTTGCGAGCCACCGACATGTGGTATATGTGGGAGGTCGCTAGAGAAAAATTTGCTGTGCTGCTGGGGGGGTGGGGGGGTGGGGGGTGGGGGTACCCCCATTTGTACCCCCACCTGTACCCCTTTGTACCCCCACCCCGTACCCCCTTTGTACCCCCACCTCGTACCCCTTTTGTACCCCCATGGGGGGTATACCCCCTGGGGGTATGGCAGAGTATACTAAAAACCAAAGAATGTCAAAAAAAAGTACAAAATACCTGCTCAAAATCGAATTTCCATCGCCGGCCAGATCCAATTCGACCATGTGGTTATGAATGGTGTCCCAACGATCACGTGGAAGTTGTGGGGATTTCTAAATGTCTTTTGTAGAACGCTCAGTATTGAACCGTACAGGTTCAGTCAAAGCCTTGAACTTGGGCACGCGTTGATGGTCACAGATGCCGAGAAACTCCGCAGGATATGCTTGTCCCAGTCGGATCTTTCCTCGTCGTCCATTGATCAGTGGCCAGTGCTCCAAGCTAAATCTAATATCTCCGTAGAACGGTATGGGTAACCTTAAAGGTTGGTCCATTTCACGGTATCGATCGGCCATAGTTCTGGTCCTGGAAAAAAAAACAAAATAAAAAATTTACCAACAGATCCCTATCCCTTTTACCAATTGTGATCAATAAAGCCTTACGGTTCATCGCCCGGAACCAAGGGTTGATCCATCGTAGATGCGGCGGTAGCCGGTTGATCATCTTCCATTTTCAAGCCATCACAGATGAAGGTAGCGGCTGAGTCTTGATATTTGAGGCGAAGGCCTGAAAACAAGTGAGTCGAATAAGGACGTTTTTTGTACCAGTAATTTGCTGGTTCGTTTGGGACAGAACTGCAGGGTTCCATCTGGCCTCTCGTGGGCTTCTCCAACAGTTCAATTCGCAGATAAACTGCACCAACCCAGTCGCTTTGAAGAAAGTGCCGACTTTTGCTAAAAAAACTAGCTAGTGCTTTATTAATTCACAAACCATCCATAACCAAGGCGGGTATTATCGAGCAGCCACTGTTTTTGCCGACCGGTGCGTCGATCATATTGATGCCCTAAAAGCACATAAAATTTATTAGAAGTGATCTACCTTAGAGACACCCAGCCGCCTTTCGTGACCACAGTGCAGATCTTCGCGAGTGTTCGGATGGTCGACAAGAAAAGCGCTGCCATTCCGGAAGAATACGTAATTGCCTCTACAAGAAATTGGGAGGGAAATGGCCGACAAACTTTTCTGCAGCCGGAGCACTCGTCAAAATATCGAGGAACTGATTGAGGGACCTGTCTTGCCCATTTCTCGCCCTCTTCTGCGCTTCGCCCAGGCTGAAGCGGGTGGCGAATTGCCTGAAGCTCTCAATAAATCTCTTGATCAATTGTATACCGGCAGGGTTGGATCTGGATTCGGATCTCGGCAGAATCACAGTCTTCAACGAGTCCGCGTGCACGCGGAGGAAGTTGGTTGACGTTCACTGTCACAGATCCGTTATGCTGGAAATAGGAACAAGGGTCATGAAAAAAATTATTTACCGGCTTGAGCGCTATCATCAAATTTTCCGTGGAATAAAGATAGGCAACTCCATCGTAGATGACCGCCCCCTCACGGTTGAGCATGCCAACGAGTTCGAGGGCTCTTCGGACGGCCATTCGTAAAAGTTCGGCATGTGAGTTTACACGACCCCTAAAGAAATGTTGGAAATTAAGAAGCTGACAAACGTTTCACGGGAGACCCGGGTCAGCTCGATAACCGAGACGCGCTCGCCATTCCGAAGGATCAACTCGGCATGTAAATCATGACGGTAGACAATACGACTCAGGTCAAGCTCGATTGGGAAATGGTTGGTTTCGATGCGCACCTAATAGGAATTATAATCCAGCACGAAAACCTCACTCTCTGCAGATTCCTTCGATCCGCCGGCGGTAAGCGTGGATGAAAAGCCGCCTCAAACGGAAGCGGTTCAATGGGTGAATCCTGGAAAAAAAAGTTATAAGGTATTTTTTTGAAAATCCCACCTGTAGGACTGAAGAACCTTGTGTCGGTGGCGTCCTGTTGGCCACTAAAATGAGATAATTTCAGTACAAGCGTCACTTTCAAACCGGTCAGGGAGGCAATTTCGCTGTTCAGTTCGTCCAATTGATCTTCATGCATCGAATCCGGTGGTGTCTCCATCCGTCGGAAGCCATTCGAAGACCGTGTGTAGGTTTTCACCCTTCCATTGTTATTCATATTGTGCGGCTGTTCACCTAAACGAATTGATGAAGAACCATGGGGAGTCCCCCAGCTTTCGCGGGGCCAAGCCTTACCTCCACGGTAAGTTCTGCGACGTGCAATCTCAGCCATGGCAACCTGTAACAAGACGATCGAAGCAAATAGATAAATCATTTACCTCATCTAGTTCACCGCCGTAAGCTGATTGACTCCAAGCGGCCGATGAAGGTCGTGACGAATGGTGACTCGGGGCTAAAATTCCTCAATTAAGGAAAAGCGAAAAATCATACCCATCCCCTGAGCTTTCTCGTTTCGGTAGCCCTGGGACACAAATCCATCATCAGGGCGGCTGCACGAAGACGCTGATTGCTGCACATTTTGCGTTTGAGGAGCTCGCGAGTAGGAGTGGCCGTTTTCGGGACGCCAGTTCGAGGGAGTCTGATGACCGTTCTGAATCCAGATAAAAAGATAAGCTATAGTGTTTACCATATTACGCACGGTTTGCTGGCTCGAGCTTGCAGACGCCGCGCGGAGGTCGCTTGGCCTAAAGGAAATGATATTAAAACAATTTGAAAAATAACCTCAAATATCCGCCATTCTGAGGCAACGGCGGGGCCGGTGATTGCCTAAAAGAGGATAATAAGCAGGAATCTAAGCAAAAACCGAGCGAAACATTCCATAAATTAAGAAAACCAGCAAATCAATGTATAAATAGATATCCAACATTTGAGCAACAATTACCGTTGATTCTGAGGACGATAGTTGTCTCGATGATCATAAGGATCGCGTTCCAAGTAGCGGCCGCTGCTTCTGTGGTCCATGGAATTCTGGCGATATAAAGGTTCTTCCCGAACAAGCGGACTGTAGCAATCTTGTGCCCTAAATCAGGTGTTGCTATATTACACAAAACTACAAACCGATCAAAACGAGCTCGGTCATATGGCGCATTACTCTGGTAGTCCCGCAAGGGGCTGCTTCTAAAAAGATTTATAGAAAACGGGGAATTAAATACCGCAAGCTGTCACTGCGTCCTCCTGTCGGATAGTATTCTGGATCCCGTTCATCATAACCCCTAAAACGATTGAATTCTTAAAGATAGCACTACCAGCTGCCGTCAGATCCATAGTAAGATCCGTTGTTCGTTTGGCGATAGCTTGGAGTTTCCACGTTGCGCCTAACGTAAGTCACATTTGGACCGTCGGCATATTGTGATTGTGGCTGACTAAACAGCGGAATGATAATGATACAACACTGCCGATATACATTCTATCATTGCCGGTATAGTGTCGAGGAACGTTCTCATCTCGATAATCGTGGGAAGGGTAGTTGCTGCTGGAAAGGCTCGTTTTCGAGGTATAACTTGGTCAAACCGTGAAGAGCGGCCGAAATCATCATCGTAACGAGCGACGCTGACCGGACGGCACCTAGATATCGTGGATAAGAAGCCGAAAACCCAAATACCCGTTATAAATTGACGGAGAGTAGGCTGGCTGACTCGAAGTCTGCATCCCGTAGTTGTCCGAGCGTTGGGCTCTTCCACGGTAAGGGTGGTGCCCTAAGATTCTAGTCAAAAGGAAGTATGGCGAAAGGGTTCTTTAGGATTTCCGGGGAAACCAAATTTTTTCGGCCCGAGCCTAAATTTTTTTCTAAATAGCGCATGCGTTTCTAAATGGTTTTAACTAGTCCTGAGCATAAAAACTACCCACATTTTAATTAAAAAAATTGAATTTTAGGTCGAAAAATCCTATAGAACCTTTAGGATTAGCGGGGGGAATGACCCAAAATGACTAAATTTTCGACTTTTTCCAACTTTTTTCTAACTTTTTTGAAAGGTTTTTCTACTTTAAATATGGTTAAAATTTACCAAAAACAATGTGAAAACACTTTATATTTGATTACTAGGTCAACCGGGAAAACCAGGAAAAAATTTGGTTTCCCCGGAAATACTTCCCCCGCCCGGAAATCCTAAAGAACCGGCGAAAGGAATACCGTTGCTGGAAGTTTGCCACGTGTTAGGCGCCCGGTTTTCGTTGCCGGAACTGTGTCCACCGCCTCGCCGACGACCTCTGGGACGTCGAGATCCCCTGAAAATAATTTCATAAAAAACGTGAAGATCTAAAATACAGAAGAAAAAATTGGAAGTGTGAAAATAAAAGATTTTTTCAGCACAGTCACCATCATTTACGAAGGCAACAAAGACACATTCCGTTCTTTTGTGTCATTCGTAATCGTATATTTTGGAAACACTTCTCTTGCCACGAATTTCATCGATTTTTCTGGAAAGTCGCGGGCTTTTCGACCAAATCAAAATCAATTTCACGATTTCAACTTTTCGATTATTATTCTTCTTCGTTTCCTACCTATTTCTTTCTGTTTCGCCTCTTTGTGAAGGGCCGGCGGTTGGTTCAGAAGGTTGCTGAGGAGGCTTGTCCGTCTGTGAGGTGGCTAGGAATCCAAACCCCGGGTTCGTATTTGGATCTGCGCTAACACCGCTGAAAGATACATCTATTTTTACTATCTTCTCATGAGACCTACCCTTTGTTTGGCTTTTGCCTGCGTCCTCTCCACGGCATTCTTTCGTTGATTCCGACGGCTAAATCTCTTTCAGTTCAAAAAGTTATCTCGGTCAGTGTTAGAGGTAAATAAATGTTCTTTTATATACGAAGGTTATGTAGAATTTCGTCGCATAAGCGGTCCGTGTGCGTGCCTGCTGGCGTTGTGATCCATGTGGTCTGCGTCTCTCCCACACTGTTACTTCCATCCCTCGGGCCGCCCCTCTCGTTCATTCGGCCCAGCACCTCCGGCGCGTGGAGCCATATGATGAGATAGGGCTCCGAGGTCGTGCGGCCTTTTTATTTTCGCAATTTCGCCCCTCTTATTTTTATTTTGCACCCTGGCCGCGCCCATAGCCGCATTGCTTTATTTGGCGTGCTGAGGCGTGAAATGTCACGCACGATTCGATCAATTATTTGTCATCCAAGGACATTTTTAATTTATTGCGTCGCAGCAACCGGATTTCACTCCTGGTTGGTAGGTTCGCGACTCTGCCATGTTTCTCGGCAAATTGTTGACACCCTTTCTCGGTCTTGTCGCATCACGTGATCCTTGCCCCCGGTCAGCTTTCCCCTCACAATAATATTATTGCGTATCATTGATCTGGTCGATAATTTCTTGTTTGTTGGTGTGCAGATCCTTTCTTGAATGCCTTTTCGGCTAAATTCATTAACGGTATGCTGCTATATGACCTCTTTGGCATCTGCCTTGTGACGTCACGTGCGAGCCGGTTCCTCTTGCATGCGCCTGCCATCCTTCGCCCTTCTGCGCGCCGACCTTTTTGTTTTCTGCCCACGCAGACCGCCTGGATCGCATACTTTCTCTGCGTTGAATCTCTAGCCAAAGCGTTATCGATAGGTGCACCTGACGATGCCATGTTTTTGGCGGGATACCGATAACTAGTAGTTTCTTTGTTCTCTCTCTCAATTGATTCTCGGTAGAACTTGAGCCACCTGCTCTGGTGTCCTTATTCGACTCACCTGTTTTCATTAAAGGGGCTCGGAAGTCAGAATTCGCGCATGTGGGGATTGAACCTACTGGTCAAAAAACGAAAGGGTTACTGCCGAGAAGTGCCATAAAATTGTTTTCGTTGCGAAAAACGCAAAATATTTGAGTAAAACCGAAATCTTTTCGGGGCGAAAACGCCTTTTTGAGTGCGCGGCGATAACATGTCGTAATGCCCTGTAAGGCATCCAATCCCTCGATCTCGGTCATTCTCTGCTCAAATTGCATAATTAAAACGTTTAGAATGATCAAAATTCGATGAGGATTACAGAAATAGCGTGAGAATTTTAAAATTCAGGCGTTTTCCCTTACAAACAGGGCATAAAGAACGTGCGACGCGGTCGCGTTGCGGCCGCATCTGGCTATTTGCCAGGAATCACAGTGGGGGGCCGTGGACCAGATTTCGGAGCCCCTTTAAGATCGTGGCTACTGCCTAGCTTGCCCCGTTGACCTGTTTCACTATATTTCGTTTTCTTAGGTTATCTGCAACTTATCCAATCCTTTTTCAGGCTCAGTATTCGGAGATGGATGGCGCTTCTACTTCGTCGGGAGCGATGCGTGCGCTGTCCGTGGAGTTGAGGGGGCTGCAGACTTCACCGGTAGAGGGCTTCACAATCAGTGCGAACGAGGACAACCTCTTCCTTTGGACCGTCGGAATTTTCGGACCGCCACAGACTTTATACCAGGTTAGCTTGTACAAGTCTACTATAGGGTAATTGGCGTTATTGCAGATCCAAAATAATTTGTTTTTTTTTCAGGGAGGGTACTTCAAAGCAACCATTCGCTTCCCTCAGAACTACCCATATTCTCCTCCGACAGTGAAGTTCTTGTCCAAGGTCTGGCATCCAAACGTTTACGAGGTAATTTCAATCGATTGGTTTTTTAACCTTTTCTTAGAACGGTGATCTCTGTATCTCGATCCTTCATGCACCTGTGGACGATCCGCAAAGTGGCGAGCTGGCTTGCGAGCGCTGGAATCCGACGCAGAGTGTGCGCACGATCCTGTTATCCGTCATTTCGCTACTCAACGAGCCGAATACGTCGTCGCCAGCCAATGTGGATGCCTCGGTGATGTTCCGCAAGTGGAAGAACGGGGAGGACGACCAATATGCACAGATTATCAAGTAGGTTATTTGTTCGAATTGCTTTTAAAAATCATTTGGTTGTTATTTCTATATCGTATTTTTAGGAAACAAGTGGAAGATTCGAAAGAAGAAGCCGCCAAGGACGGAGTCAAAGTACCCGAAACCTTGGAGGAGTACTGCATCAAGACTCGTGCTGCTCCGGACGAGGTGATCGATGATTTTGGTGGGTTTTCACTTAGGAATGTGTTATTTCCTTCTTGCAGAAGATTTCTACGGATACGATGACGAAAGTGACGGTGGCGAGTTCGAAGAGGAAGGTGCTACCGATTCGGGTCAAGGCGAAAATTGAGACATCCTTTCGGAGCCATTAATTTCCCAGTTATTTCAAGTATATATGCGTTATTCCTCGAAGTTCTTACCCAATAACCGCATTGAAAAAGCCCATACCAACTCCACGCGTTCACTTCTTTCGCCATCCCGATTCAGCGATCGTCCCTTTTAGGCGATAATTATGATTATCTGTTGCGATTCTTCCCCTGCCCCGACTTTCACCCCCCGTGGCCACGAACAACTATCGTCGGCGACATTTTCACGAAACCCGGAGTGTCTCGCACGCTTTCTTTCCGTCTACGAGTCGCCGCATTGTAGTTCACACCTCTGGTCTTTGACTTTCTATTCGTTGAATTATCTAATTACCGATTTTTTTGAAACTACATTTTTTCGAATAAATACTGATGATCTGTCCGCTATCTGATTGCTATGGAAACTCCGCCCCCGTAAAGAAAATACCTCTCGTCGACGTGACAGCACAATTATCGCAAGTTTCGATTTTAGAATGAGCAAACGGCAAAATCCATCCGATTTTTTGAAGCAGATCATCGGAAAGCCGGTAGTAGTGAAGTTGAACTCTGGCGTTGATTATCGAGGAATCCTCGCATGCCTGGATGGGTTCATGAACATTGCGCTAGAACAAACCGAGGAATATGCGAACGGGCAACTACAGAACAAGGTTTTTGTCAACTATAGCATTAGCTTTTTCGTTTAGTATGGTGACGCGTTCATTCGCGGAAACAACGTGCTCTACATCTCTACGCACAAACGATGAATATCCACTATTTCGTTATTTTGTTGAACTTGTGACTTCAATCGTACGGTTCTTTTTATGTTTTTACGATCTCTATGCTAATAAATTGTGACCTCTCAGCTATGTTCTCTACGTCGGAAACATGGTTTTCTTGCCAATCTGAGATGTCTAAAGACGATTGTCACGTGCTTTGCTGTGAGGAGAGCAGTCACTGTATCTCTCACTCACCGGGCGGCCCGGGGTCCTAGCACGTCCCCCTAGACACTGTCGATCTCTTGCGCGTAAGCTGCAGCAAAAATTTCGAAAAAGTACCAAACATTGACATCTAAGCTTGCCTCGAAAAATTTAAAAGTAAGTTGAACGGCATTAGTCAGTAAACTTCTTCTATTCTTCATTGTATTTTTTCTGTATTTCGTAAACTCCCCGTTTGCAGCAACGAAATGCAAACTTGGCGTTACTGGCCTGAGTAATGTCGATGAAGGCCTCCCCCAACCCCAGCCATGGCTTGTAGCATTGAAAAAAGGTCTTTAAACGTATGTCTATACTCATATTCTCGCTGTCTTTCAATCTCTTCCATAATGTGGTTTTAGATGAGTAAAGAAGAGCTACTCCGCTGTCCGAAATGCTCGGACCGCCTCATCCCTCGTCTGCTCGATACGACGAAAGGGGGCCTCCAGAAGATTTGGTGGACTTGTGCTTCAAACGAGGATTCGGTTGGATTTGTTCAAAAAAATATTATTTTTAATTCAGGCGTCCTTCTGTGCGTTTCCTTTTGACATGCCACCAGAAGTCTTTTGGGTGACCCGCTGCCCATCAGAAATCGAGAAGAACGTGATTCCGGAGCCTAACTTCGAAAAATTGCCGAAAAGGTCTGAATAAGTACCTTGTTTTTAGGTATTTTTTTAGGTTTCTCCAGCGCTATTATCCTTCCCTCCTTCGATCGTCGTCGCGCCAATCAGAAGAATCTGGACGAGGATATATTATGAAAACAAAAAACAAAAAGAGCAGGTCTGTAATGGTACTTGGTTTATTGAATCTGTATAGGAGTCGTTCTGATGGAGTTTCTGTTGGCACCTCGGATTCTGGCTTACTGGCAAACAGCGACATCAGTAAACCTGCAGAGCAGTCGCTGCAGGCGATTTCCAGTGATGCGGTCATGAGTCCCACCGGAACGGATGCTGATGTGTACAGCGCTTGCCCACCCACTCCGGATCTTGATGGTGAGCCACTACCTACCATATTATCTTTCAAGCGCGGTTTTGAGCTATTATGTTATGATCATATTTTTAACACAAATTTCAGATTGTCCTCAAAGCCCTGACGATTCGGATGCCGCTAGTTCCCAGGGCTCCATTTCTGGTTGTGTGGCGGTGGCGAGCACGAGCGGCTCTAGCACCTACTCGCAGCGCCTGCTTACCTATAGTAGCAAGCGTTCCCACTCCAAGGACCCGGATTCGCCTCCCAGCAAACGACGTGTCTTTAGACCGTTCCAGGATTCATCCGCACCCAGTGCGCCCAGGTATTTTTCGTGTTCCTTTTTCATGAAGATGAACTTTAGGCCTAACATCATCACACACATCAAAGTGATGCCGCCTTCCCCGTTTGTCTGCACTACCGTGGAGCCAATGGAAAAACTGGTACGTTTATTTGCACACCAAGCTTATTTTCTGTTTTATGTGACTCAGTTTATCATTTTTTAGAAGGCGGCGATCTCCATCATGCATTCCAAGTCAGGCGAGCGTCCGTCCGACGTCGAGTTGAGAAAGTGGGATTTTGCTTCAATACGTTCAAAACCAATTTATAGGGTCGGCCTGAACAGCGGCTACATGAAAAAGGTCGATAGCTGGAATCGCTCGGCCATCTTTGAAGCTATCGAAGAGGACTGCAAGGTTTCGTCTTTATATCTTGACCAAGATTTATTTTAGAAGACTTTGCGGAAGGCCGGACAACGTATATTGGCGGGTTATGAGCCGAAGCGCGTGCAGCCGGCCCCAACAGACGAGACGCTTGAGCGCATTGAAATGAACGAGGCGAGAACGGTTTGTTTTTTAAATCCTAGTTACGCAGTGGCATCGGCTAATTTCTAGGCTTTCCAAACCACCGTTTTTAGGTGGTTGATCGGCTGTTGACGGCGAAAGCCCAGCAACGGCATGGAATGCCTGAAGAGGCTCAACAATACTTGGATCAACCCCGCGTTCAAGTCGAACAATTCTACCCAACTCAGTATGCTGCGCCCCAGAGCCCCTACCAAAACATGCAGCCGCCACCGGATGCCTACGTATATTTCGTTGGATTTTTCAATTTAGTGTTTATAGGCATACGAAGTACCGCCACAGGACCAGCCCCGGCAAATTGCTTCTACCGAAGCATACGGCCATTATTTCGACGATGCGCAGCAGCAGGTTGATTGGACGGGCCAAGCAAGAGCGGTATGTTTTCAGGATTATTTTCAAAACGTCGACTTTGCCTATTCATCGATTTTTTTTTCTAAGCCCGAGGGGCTTCTCGGGTGATAGACTCCGACGGATTGAAATTCCGGCATCTGAAAAAAAAAAATTGTGTTTTGGTGTTGCTATTTTATCCGGCTTTCCGAAAACTTTTGCATGACCGCTTATTTTCAGGTCTCCGAGTTCGGCTACGGTGACGATTGGTATGACACGGACCAGTTCATCGACTACACTGGGTACGAATTGCATCAGCAGTCTCTTCAACTCTCGTTTAGCGCTGAGCCGGGCCCAGGTGACACCACCTACATGATGCCTGCCGAGCCCACCCAATCAGAAATGCCGCCCGAAGCAGAGGTCTCCGATCCACTGAATCTTGATATCTGGCCCTGATAATATTCTCCTTTACAATAGAATAATTCATGTTGTAAAGGGCCGCTGGGAAAGCGTTTTTACGCCTCCTAACAGACCTTCCCCCACTTTTGTGATATTGTGCCAAGCATCTATGTTCTGTGATAGCGACCTACGGTTAATTTTTGGAACCTCTCACCATTTTTTAGTTGTTAATTTTGTTTAACGCGTACACTTGTTTGTTAATTGCGTGTCCCCCCATTGCTCATTGATCGCGTTCTCAGGGCCCTATAGGCGTCTCAGTCCTAGAGGAATCTCTACGGTTACAGATAAAGTCTTTTGTTTATACTTGCTTGATTATGCACATTTCGAGGTTGTATACGGTGTTGAATATTTTATTATGGGAGGCCGAGTTATCAACAATTCATCGTTTCCGCGGCATACAATTGTTGAGCACCTGTCGAAGTTGACCCGATTTGTGCATTTCGAATAGGTTGGATGCTCCTGAAAATGCATTTTTGGCTTGATAGAGGGTGGCTGCCGACCTCCTATAAAATCTCCGCAGACAAAGATGTAGGGGAAGGTGACCTGGCCGGTCATTTGGTGCAGGTCGGCTTGAAGTTGGCGCTGCCAGTCTTCGCTACCGACTAGTTCTAAAATAGCTGCATTATTGGTTTGCGGTTTGGTAGATGAAGTAAGGCAGCCCAAGTCTTCACCTACCCAAGTAATGGGACGGCACATCTGGATAAGTGGTGGCTAGTAAGTGTTTGGCTCGATTACAGGGTACGCATTGGACAAGGGTGTAGATCATCACGGGGTATCTTCTGGACTGGCGTTCGATATACGCTGAATCGGAGTGTGATTTTGTGTCAGTAGTTCTTACATCGATAGGAGTAGCCATATCCGCCTCCATTTTGTCTCGCCAAGCCCGGATATCCACCGTACTGGAACAGGTTTTTTTTGAGCCAAATACGTGCCCAACCTGCCCATAGCCATTATCGTAATCAACCCCCTGGCCCATGTAGTCAATTGGGGCCTGATAAGGGCTGGGGCCCATTTGTTGCATCGGACCATGGGAAGGGGCCGATTGTCCTCCATGATAGGTGTTAGCGAATGTGGCGACTAAATAATCTTTCTAATTTAGTGAATTTCTGCATTGAGTATACGTGCAGTAAACTCACATGGATTCGTTCTGGCCACTACGGCTCCTGGGTATCCATTTGGCACCCGGGCGCGTGTGCTGAAAAATAAGCGCATTTATATAAGGGCAGAAAATGAGAGCTTACCCATAGCTATTAGGACGGATTCCCGCCCCAAAAACTTGCGGCTGACTCTGTTCGTTACGGAATCCAGAAGAAGCGAAACTTCCGGAATTCTGAACGGCTGGGCCGGGTGCCTGCTGCTGCTCAGGTAGGTGAACGAGTTGAGGGTGTTGCCGCCGAATCGTGGGCCTCTGCTTTGTCTGCGGCCCGTCGAACTCGTAGCTCGGGTAGTCGTGCTGCACCAGAATTCCAGTAGCATTCTGCAAAAATCTGTAATAAAATCAAAAAGAAGGCTTTATGACGCACCACCGCGCGATCATCTACCCTCGCGTTTTCTGGAATTGCTCATTTCGGGTCGTGCACCATCGAAACTCTTTGTTTCGCTCTTTTTCCACGAATTGACCCCTAGCAGCCAGACGGGGCCGCGGATTCCCGCGCGGAATCGGGCGACGCGAGGCGCGTGAGGAAGGCGTCCAGGCCGGGGAGGTGTCATTTTCCACACGGATCGGTCAACACAACCCTTCAGTCCATCCATCCTCCATGGATTGGCCCCCACCAGCAATACAGCGCTAGAATTTACCGCCCCGAGAGTAAGTGAGGTCGTAATGGGGTTGGCGGTGTTGGATTTAAAGGGACTGGAACCCGGGACAGCTTCTGTGGATTTCCGGAAAAATCAAAATGCTTCGGAAAGGTCATTGTAAATTCCAAAATGGTGTTGTTATTGCGCGTACCGTAGCATTTTTCGAAGAAACAATCGATTCACTTGGTCGTCGCTTGCTTCGAGTCTAAAAAGTGCCAGATATATGGTCAATCCGGGATTTTCCAATTTTGGTGTTTTTAACCTGCTGCTGATTAGAAACCTAGGAAAACTTAAACATAAGGCTGTTAAGAATTTAAACCTGAAAATAAACGAAAAGCTGGTCTCTTTTCCAAAAAATATTGTCAAAAGCTCACCTCGGATAATGCGATGGCAATGCTAGGTCCCAGCACCAGCAGAAAATAGAAGTGCCACCTCATCTCGATGATTTAAAGTCTCGGGATGTCTAAAAAATGTCAGTTTAATAAATTGTAAGAAAAATAATCGCGCGTTTATCGAAATCTCGGTTAATTAAGCGTTAATAAATTAGCTGAAATTAAAAGTTTGAGTAAAATACGAATGTTTTGAGGTTATTCATCGCCAGCTTAATTAAGCAGTCATGAATTGCTTTACTTAAAGGGCCGCTGAAGCGTACCTTTTAGAAGAAATTGCGAGATTTTCAAGAGCTGCCGGAAGTGAAATTATGTTAAAGCCTACGTTTAGACACAGGCTACTTGGATGCCTATATTTACGTCTCCGTCTCTCCTATCTCTCTCTCTCTCTCTCTCTCTCTCTCTCTCTCGCTCTCTCTCCCTCTGCGTGCTCAATTAGCCCTATATCTCTGCGCACGTAGCCGGTGCATACGTCTTGTGGATAATACGCCAAGCTGCTATCGACAAAAATACAGGAATAAAATTAGTGAAGAAAAGTGATCAAAAATCAAGTATCGCGCGAGGCTTCAGCCAAAATTCGCAACGAATACGGCTCTCGCGACCCAGATGGGATGGTTGGGGCTGAACCCGAGAATCTGGGGACAAACAATGTCGCGCCCTGAGGCGAGACATTTCACCCCAAAGGAGGGCCCTTCCAAGAAGGGAGTGGAGGATAGCTTTACGCTTCTCTTGACACTTCCAGATGAAGGAGGACTCCTCGTTTACAGTATCATCACTCCGCGTCGCATCCTGCTCCAAAATAAAAAGAGCAAGAGTGCGACGAGGTATTGCGACTTTAGGAACGAAAAGGGGGAAACACTGGGTATATAAAATAATGCCAAGGTATTTCAACAAAAAAAAAATGCTTTTGGCTTCATTTTAGGATTTCGAGCTGGCTTATCTTGCGTAGAATTTTGCGCGGATTCCGAATATGCTTTCTAAAGTCATGAAATATGCATATTTGAAAAATTAGAAAACTTTAGCACACAAAAAAGAGGGGCACATCTTTTCCTGGTTAATGCCTTGTATCTTTCTAAATATCGACATACGGTGAATTCTGAAGGCAGATCTGGAATCAGCGCAAAATTCTGCACAAGATAGACTTTATAATATCGAAACTAAACAAAAACTTTACTAGATACCTTTAGCCAAATAATGCCCAGCAACCAAACGCTACAAATGACACTTAAAAACAAAGCTAATAACCAAAAGCCGACCGCCGAATCTGAAAGCCAAAAAGCCAACGTCTCTGTCGGTGTATGTGGACAGACAACCGGCACAAGGTGACGTGTCTGTAAATGGAGACCCTATTGTCGTGAGGGCCACTGCCCGACATGAGGGCCATAGATCATCGAGAAATATTTATTGAGGACACTACCACCCGCCGTCTACGGCTCGCTTTTGGAACAGGCGTGGATGAGGTGACACGTCTTGTGCACCAGCGCCGATGTCTTCTTTTTGTCGCGGAACGAGTCGAGTAGGTGCTTGAAGGGGGACATATCGGCTGAAATTCATGCCTGATTCATTGGGATTTCTAATTCGTCGCTAGTTTGTTAGGAAAAATGAAAGGAAAAGAAGGGCCACGAATTTTTCTAATAGAAGAAGTAACGGTTTCTGCACTTTTTTTTACTATTCGTAAACTTAAAAAGTAGAAAATTATACTTTTCCGCCTAAAAAGCAGATTTTCGACTACAAACTCCAATTTTAAGCATGTAACAACGTTTTAAAACTATTTTGCCACTTGAACTAAAGTAAAATTTTACTAAAAAACTTATTAATAAGGCATATCTGGACTTATCAAAAAAACCCTCGAAAAACCTACAAAACAGCATTGTTTGACAAATAAGTCGCGTCCCAGGAATGGGCCCAGTGCCGAACCCAGCCGTGGCAAGCGCCACCTGACATATGTGAAGCGCGGGCGCCTTGATGGCCTCTTGGAACTTCTAGGAATCGGGATGCCTTTTGAATGACCAATAACTGGGTACCAGACATCATCCCATCAATGGTAGTCAGTGTATCGACACAAGCCGCGCAAAGCCCTTGCCAACTGGCCGCATCCCCGGCTGCAAGCGAAGCAAGCGTTTGCCCGGTTAAACTCAGATATTCACTCCTGGAATAGGTTTTTTAAAAATCAGCTGCCCAAAATTATACATACACTTTCGTATAGTCCTCTTTCTTTCTAGGTTTTATAGTTTCCTTAGCATTTTTCTATACTATTTCGACTATTTTAACCCCGATATGAGAGCAGCACCATTACCCAGCACTGCGATTCATCCTTTAATAAAAACGC